ATCATAGCTCACAGCAACCTCCAACTCCTGGGCTCAAGTGAGTCTCCTGCCTCAGCCTCCCAAGTAGCTGGGACTACAGGTGCCCGCCACAACGCCTGGCTGGCTATATTTTGGTTGCAACCATCATTGTTGTTTGGCGGGCCTGGGTTGGATTTGAACCCGCCACCTTAGGTGTATGTGGCTGGCGCCTTAGCCACTTGAGCATCACAGGCACCGAGCCAGTTTCTTCGGTAATTAAGAGTGCATCTGTCACAGTTACTGAACTGGTACGACACAGGATCGTTAACTAAAGCCCACACTTTATTCAGGTTTTTTTGTATTTTCCCCTAACATCCTTTTTCTACCCCAAGACCCCATCCAGAATCCCATATAACATTTAATCATCACATATGTTCAGCCTCCTGTGGGCTGTAACTGTTTCCCCAACTTTGTTTTTGCTTTTTTTGTTTTTTAAGACAGTCTTACTATTTCACTCTTGGTAGAGAGCTGTGGCTTCACAGCTCACAGCAACCTCAAACTCTTGGGCTTAAGCGATTCTCTTGCCTAAGCCTCCAGAGTAGCTAGGACTAGAGTGCCTGCCACAACGCCCAGGTATTTTTTTTTTGTTATAGTTGTCATTGTTGTTTAGCAGGCTGGGGCTGGTTTCAAACCCACCAGCCCTAGTGTGTGTGGCCAGCACCCTAACCACTGACCTATGGGTGCCAAACCTAGCTTTTGATGACCTTGGCAGTTTTAAGGACTGGTAAGGATTTAATGCAGAATGCCCCTCAGTTGAGATTTGTCCACTATGTTTCTCCTGAGTAGACTGGGGTGATGTATTTTGGGAGGAAGACCACAGACGCATATCTCGTGCCTGTAATCCCAGTACTCTGGAAGGTCAAGGAGGTGGATTGCCTGAGCTCACAGGTTTGAGACCAGTGCGAACAAGAATGAGACCTCCCGTCTCTAAAAATAGCAGGGCGTCGTGGAACCTATAGTCCCAGCTACTCGAGAAGCTGAGACAAGAGAATTGCTTGAGCCCAAGAATTTGAGGTTGGTGTGAGCTATGCACAGACACCAGGGCACTCTACTGAGGGTGACAAAACAAAAAATACCCCAGAGATAAAGCACTACACATCAGGCCAAAGGTGCAGAGGCTCAAACACAGCTGAGCTGACTTTGGTCACCTGGATGATGCATGTTTGATGGGCTTTCCTCCTGTCCTTTTTGGCAGGAAGTTGCTGGCTGCAGTCCACACATCAGGGGTGAGAGGCTGTGGTTCACCTCCTTTAGGACAAGAGTATCTACTAAATTAGACATTGTGCAGGACACACTTCTTCCCTATTTATCTTTTACTTTTTTCTTTACTTGCCACTATACAAATTTATTTAACCATTATGTTAATATGGACTGGGGGATATTAACTTTCTACTTTGGGTTATGATCCAGTATGATTTTCTTTTTTCTTTTTTCTTTTTTTTTTGAGACAGAGTCTCAAGCTGTCACCCTGGGTAGAGTGCTGTGGCATTACAGCTCACAGCAACCTCAAACTCTTGGGTTTAAGCAATTCTCTTGCCTTAGTCTCCCAAGTAGCTGGAACTACAGGCACCTGCCACAATGCCCAGCTATTTTTTGGTTGTAGTTGTCATTGTTGTTTGGTGGGCCCAGGGTGGATTCGAACCCACCAGCTCCAGTGTATGTGGCTAGTGCCCTAGTCCCTTGAGCTACAGGTGCGGAGCCAGTATGATTTTTCTCCTTTCCTTTCCTTTCTTCTTTGACACAGTCTCACTATGTTGCCCTGGGTAGATTGCCGTGGCATCACAGCTCATAGCAACCTCAAGCTCTTGGGCTTAAGTGACTCTCTTGCCTCAGTCTCCCAAGTAGCCGGGACTACAGGTGCCCACCACAATGCCCAGCTACTTTTTGGTTGTAGTTGTGATTGTTTGTCAGGCCTGGGCTGGATTCGAACCTGCCAGCTCCAGTGTATGTGGCTGGTGCCGAAGCTGCTGAGCTACAGGAGCCAAGCCCCAGTATGATTTTCTTGCTCAAATTCTCCTAGCTTTGTCCATCAGTTGCCAATCCGGTTAGTTCCTGTGTCTCTTGGAGGTAGCATCATCCTTATGTGATTTTTTTTTTTTTTTTGAGCCTTTCCTTATTTTTTGGAGCTACGAGATTCTCTAGGGTCCTGCTGTCTGCACCAGCTCCATCCTAGAATTGGCCATTTCTTAAAGCAGCCCACTGCTTTTATTGGGGCACCTATTGGAAACCAAGACGTGGGCACTGGGCATGCTCTATGCTAATTTAATGGACCTATAGAAAGTTTTCAAGGTAGTGCTAACTGAAAGGCCAAATGGCCAAATGGAGGCTCGGCACCTGTAGCACAGTGGTTATGGCATCAGCCACACACACTGAGGCTGGAGGGTTCAAACCCATTCTGGGCCAGCTAAACAATGATGACAACTGCAACAAAAGGCATTGTGGCTGGCGCCTGTAGTCCCAGCTTCTTAGGAGGCTGAGACAGGAGAATGACTTAAGCCCAAGAGTTTGAGGTTGCTGTGAGCTGTGACATTAGAACACTCTACAGAGGGCGACACAGTGAGATTGTCTCAAA